ATTTAATGCTTGTTTCTTCATTATACAGCTAGGTCTTATATGCTAGTTTTTAGCCTTTTTGCAAGTTTTTATCCTAGTTTTTTCATATATGCTAGCTCCTTTTAATGTCAGCATGCCACTGTGGCAGTTTCTGAGGTTCTGCCTCTGCCTTAGGAGATTTGTGAGTTTGTTTTAAAAATGACAGTTGACTAATGGAATACTTTTAAATGCTGTGAATTGTTTTTTGCCCATGACAGGCTACTGGGAACACAATTTGGAAACATTCCTGTGGAAAACCTCTCTTCTCTTCCCCTCGGTGTTGCCGACAGTACATTTGTATTGGCTGTGTTGACGGGAACTTACTCTGCTTTACTCACTCGGGAGAGCAGGTACAAAGATCTCATTCTGTTTTACACATCTTTCTTTGTTTTTTTCTTACAGCTGTCTTCTTGAATTCTAGGATTACAGGGATTACTTGGCATGCACCACCATGCCCAGCTTTACATATCTTTCTTAAAGGCGTAGTAGATGATTGATGGTGAACTAAAATTTCAAACATCATTATTCAGCTGATTGTATTGCGACTAGTTCAGTTTTTTCATCATGGTTCTCTTATTGTTTAAATGATAATGTACTGGGTTTGAGATTTCTACCCAAGCACTATTCTACTTTTGCCATCTCTTTCCCCATTTTTAAAATCTTAGTAGTGTTTCCCAATTCTGTGGTAACTTTTGTGGAAGTTACAAAAGTTGAAAGGCATAGCTAATGTTTCTAAAAGTATACATTTATTTAGTGTAATTGTTTTATGTGTTTTATATATTTTTGGCCTGTTAGTCTGAATGTTAATCTGTTTGGTAATTAATTTGATAAAGACTTACACAATAAATAAATCTGATTCTGGAAAAAAAAGTTAAAAACAGGGAAGGGGATAAAAGAATTGAGGTGTGTTATGTATATGTGTCAATCTTCCTCAATAAATGTAGTCATTATGTACTGCAAACATGTACTAATAAAAAATTTTTTATAAGTTGGAAGAAGCCTTTTCCTTTTAACAAGAAAACCAAAATCTTGTGCAACCAGCATTCCCTTGTTCAGAGGCCCTGTTCCTCAATTTCATGTCTAACAAACAGAGTAGTATTCTGGCTTACATTACCTCTTTCCTTGGCAACGCATTCTCTTCTTCTATAAGTAGCTATAGGTAACTATCATTTCCAGACATTTATGGCCATGGGCTCAATTTAGGTGATCATCTTGTGGGTTGAGTGCCTTGGCTCCTCCTACAGAATTAGACCATTGATAGCTAGGCTTGATTCTGGAACCTTTTTATTGTATATTCACCCTTCATAGCTGGTGGTTCCTTTTGCTATGTGCAACAGTCCTTTGTGTTGAAATCTTATCTTTTAATATTTTTTATGTACAAGATAGTTTGAATATGTTTTTACCTGTGATTCTTGAAAAACAAGAGATGCATAGCACATGCTGTGACTCCCCCTTTTTTTAATTGGATAAGCCATAGGAAAATGAAAATGATTTTATACAAGTCAGAGATAGAATTTAGATTCCAAATTATATCTGTGAATATAACACGGTTTCCCTCCCCATGCTGCTATTACTCAGCATGTGGAAATAATACTTTAAACTTAGGTCTTTTGTTCCTCCCATGTGTCTTAAGAATTTTGGCCAACAGGTTAGTCTGTATAGTAGCTTTGGAATAAGGAAATAATGTATATCCACAGGGCAGACACACAACTTACAGCTTTTTTCTTTAAAGCGCTCATTTAAATTATAGCACATAATTTTTTCTTTTAGCCTATTTATTTCCTTCTCCCAACATTTGGAGATGAGAGTAAGATGCAAATTTCAATAAGATACTTTGAAAAACTCCACAGGCCATCTGTGAATCATTGTCTCTGAACATATAAGGAATAAGTTTTGATTGGGTTCACAGTTGTGCTTCGTAATATTATACATAACAAGCAGTCATGTAGTACTAATGCTCCAGTGTGTTTTGTCTGTGGACTTTACCACTGGGATAGAACTCTAATACACAGGAACTACTTTTCAAAAGCAGCCATTTTTTTTCTTTATGATATTAAAGAATTGAACTCAGAGCCTTGCATGTGCTGGAAAAGCTATGCAAATACATGCGTTGTCCAGGAGCCATTGTTTTCTGTAGGTGTAGTTACCAAATAGCCTACATATCTTACATTTATATGAAAAACCTTCATAAAGCTAAAATATAAAGGAGAATTGTTGCAATGAGCTGAGTGAATTATTTTTGCTTTAATTTCCCTTTACAGGTTTGGCAGTACTCTACCAGTGGACCAATCTTTTCTTCCCCATGTATCTTAGCATCAGAGCAAGAAATATTTTTTGGGTCCCACGATTGCTTTATCTACTGTTGTAACATGAAAGGACACCTTCAGTGGAAATTTGAAACTACTTCAAGGGTTTATGCAACACCATTTGCTTTTCATAACCACAATTCTAACAGTGAACTGTTGCTGGCAGCAGCATCTACTGATGGAAAATTATGGATCTTGGGATCTGAGAGTGGACAGTTACAAAGTGTATATGAACTTCCTGGAGAAATCTTTTCTTCTCCTGTCATCTGGGAATCGTTGCTCATTATTGGATGTAGAAATAATTATATTTACTGTTTGGATTTACTAATTAGCAATCAAAAATAATCAAGTATAGTCCCTGATTGTATTTGTACTATCTGTAAGATGTTTTTTAAAAATTTACCATTACAGAGCATGCAGATAGTCTTATTTTATATTAGAGTTTATATTTTGGTTAATACATTTGATTATATTTTTATAGAGAACCACCACATTTTATTTCTTGTAGGAAGAGCAAAATTTTTAGGTGAGAACAAAACAGATCAATGTATTCAACAGTGCTTTCTTTTAGGTGTAATGGTTAATTTTATGTTTAAAAATTTTTTTTTTTTTTTTGTGCTGGGGATCGAACTCTGGTCCTTGTACTTGCAAAGCAGGTGGTGGAACCACTGAATTAACTCCTGGCCCCTGTTTTAAAAAATTTAAGTGAAAAAAATAATTTGTTTCTAAGAGATGCTGCTGTAGTTAGAATGTCCCATCAAAATTCGTGTTGAAACTTAATCCTCGTTGTGAGGTATTAAAAAGGTAAAAACTTTATCCAGCTGTGGTATTTGGATGTGAGGTAGGATGTTGAGAGAAGGTTAAATCAGGCCACAGGGCAGGGCCCTCATCCAATGGCTGTGGCTTTGTAGAAAGAGAAGCAGAGACTAGAGATGTTTTGTCTCACCTCATGATGCCCTGATCCACTTTGAGACTCTGCAGAGTCCCTACTAGCAAAGAGGACTTCACCAGATGTGACCCTATGACCTCCAGCTCAGCCATTAGAACTATAGGCCAAATAAGCTTATTTTCTTTGTAAATTAGTCTGTAGTATTCAGTTATAGCAACAGAAAATGGACTGAGGGAGATGCCCAGATAGCTTGGTAAAAGTTTCTGGGTATACCTGTGAATATGTTTCTAGAACAGATTAATTTAACCTTTAGATTTGAATCAGCAGCCACCACCTCTCTCTGCTTCTCAAACTTGCACATTGTATCAGGGTTATTCCTGGTATGGAGGCCTTTAGGCCTGGAATAAATTGAGTTGTATCAGGTTGCAAGCAGCCAGTGGTGGGACTTCTTATCCTTCATAATCAGGTAAGTCAATTCTTGTAATCTGTAACCTCTTTTATATATGTATCTCATTATGTTTCTCTGGGTTTAGAACCCACATTAGTGACACATTTATTTTTAAATGTAGATAGAGACAGAACAGTTTCAAGTTGATAGTTGAAGCTGATATGTGGGTTTTAGTTGTTGCTGGATTTATAGCTCAAGCCCTCTTCCCCAAATTGGTGAAGACACAGCTGCTGCCCTTGAAGTTATAAGTGCTCAATTTATGGCCACCACCATTAATCCGGGGCACTGTTCCCCATCACGGCCATCACGGGCCTCACTACCAGGCTTATTCACAGTTCCCCATCTTTGGGTCAGTTGCTCCCAGTTCATTCTCTTCCCACTGAAAGTGAAATTGGTTCCACACCTATACAGGAAAGCACGTAAGCGTTTCATCTGTGGTGAGAAGTGGGAGCTGCCTCCCACCAAGATCCTTGGGTTGGACAGTCCTCAAACACAGGCATTTTAGGTGCTGTCTGTCCAAAAAGAATGACCTATCCCCACCTTTCAGGTTGGTGCATCTTAAGCCTTACTGTACATATTCGTTACCTGGAGTTCTTGCTATAAGATGCACATCTGGGTTGAAGAAGGCTGGGCAGGGGTGTCCTGCTGAGCCACATTGGAGCCTGAGGCAAAAGGAAAAATCAGTAATACTGATCTTGTCTTTAAAGTTTTAATCTTTCAGCTGGGCGTGGTGGTGCACACCTGTAATCGCAGCACTCAGGAGGCTGAGGCAGGAGGATCACTGAGTTCAAGAGACCAGCCTGGTCTACATAGGGAGTACCAGGTCAGTGTCAACTACATAGACTGTGTCTCAACAAAAACAAAAATTTTAATCTTTCATCCATCATGGAATTTTTTGCAGTAGTTTTGATTTTTAAAATATTGCATTAAAATAATATTGTCCTGATTATTGATGTTTCCATAGCTGAGGCAAGTGCCTTGCACACTTCGCTTTTTTCAGCCTGGTCCAGCTGGGCAGTCAGCCTAAGCCACGTGCATCCAGGCTCTCTGTGGCGCTGATGCTGCTGTCACTAGCCTGTACTGTCAGGAGGCTGTAGGACTGTTTTCTCAGACCATTCAGTTCCAGTTTAAGATTGAGATAAACGTTTGTCTCTTTGTTCATTTTTTTCCTCTAATACTTACTGAAAAGTATAATAAATTACCATATAAAAAACTTTATATGCTGTTCACACAAAGCTGTGTAAATGTGAGACCACTTGTAGTCATTGAAATTAGTAAAAATTTCAACTTAAAAAGGAGATTTTCATCAATGCCAAGGATCTTGTTGGTATTTTTTATTGAAAGATCTTTTCCCCTCAGTAATGGACATTTTACATTAAAACTTTATACAACCAAAAATCTTAAAATAATATTAAAGTCACACTAAGGTATTTTCATTAAGTCTCTACTAATGTTACTGTTGGTAGAAATATTGCAAGACACTTGTAGCTAATGTTTCTGCTTTAAAATAAGCAATTAAACGTCACAAGAAGAGACAATGAATGCATACTATACATTTGCAGATAACTGGCTAAAATGATAATAGTAATGTTTAAGAAACAATTGCACTTGAAAAAAATTTTAAAGTAAACAAAAAACTCTAGTTTTTAGTTTTTTTATATTGTAAGCCTATGAACAATGGTTAATATGTAACTTTGCCAGAAGTTTAAATTTTTTAAAAAAGTACGTATCTAACATAACATTCATTTTAAAAAGAAAAGACTAACTTGAACTTAGTGTTTTTACAGAATTTCCCCATATTTTGTTGCTCAGAAAAGATTGCAGCACAACCAAAGCAAAATAACACTTCATTGGTATTTAGTGCAAATTTGGGATGGATTTGTAAATGAAATGCTAAACATGTACCTTCAGAAGTTGGTAGAAGTACTGCAACTGCCCTTTCCTCAGTAGACTCTTTTAAAAACTTTTGATTTTTTGGGGGTGGTGGTGGGGGTAGGGACTGAACTCAGGGGCCGCTGAGTGTATATCCCCACCCTTTAAAATTTTTATGTTGCAAGCTCTTGCTAAGTTGTCCAGGCTGGCCTTAAACTTATCTTCCTGACTCTGCCTTCAGAAGAGCAGGTGTGCCACCATGCCTGGCCGAAGGAACATAATTTGTATGGTCTAGTTAGTACCTGAGCCAGTACACACCTGATTCTTGTACCATTCTTTAATGATCTTGTTTCCTCACCTGTTCCCTGCCAATACAGTGTAAAGCTGATAGGATAAAAGAAAAAAGTCCATTTGGAAGAATTACCATAGTACTGTAACTCCAGGGCTACAGGTGAAAAGATTGCCATTAAAAAGTGTCATATTAGTGAGGAAAACACTGAACTAACAAATGCCTACCTATAAGATTTAAAAATGAACATCAGTGTTGAAAACGTGCAGTGGATATTGTTTCCAATAGCAATAAAGATACTACATTGATTATTAAACCCAACTTGCAAGAATACAGTTATCCACTTGACCACACATGCCAGCTGCTACAGTAAAGCTGAGCCATTGTTTCTAGAAAGAATATGGTAAATAACTTTTCTGTCATTAAGGAAATGACAGCATAACGTCACACTGCATATTGAATAAAGAAATGAATACTATAAAATGTGTTTTTGTAAGAGAAAAAGATGTAATTTGCCCTTCACTAGGCCAAAAAATTGCACCTATATTTGGGAGTAAGAATCCAGGAAAAGGAAATATGCCCATACTATACATACAAAGTTATGTGCTAGCAGTATGTAGGGATTTGCTGGTATGTCTGTTTCATGTAAAGCAAATTTAGGGAAATAAAAGTAAATGTGGCTTTGAAACTGCCAAGTCCCTTCTTTGAATGCATATGTGTATGACAAGGCCACTTAAAACTCAGATTTTTTTTAAAGGTAGCAAGGTGAATGCTTTAAATTATAAATGCTACTTAAAATTTGACTCTAAATTTGAATTACTCGATTAGAGTCTGAGTACAAAGGCTGTAGATCTTGACTTCCTGTTTTCTCTAAAGACCCAAGGGAATTTCCAGAGACATACAATGTCAATAGCCTGTTACACTGTGTTTGCGTGGGTTTTTGTTTTGTTTTTTTCCCCATCTTTTGCTTCTGTGGGTAAATGATCCTCCCCTCAGAGTCTGGGAAACTAGAATGCCCTAGAATCAGTGTGTCCAAAGGGTCTGAACCCTCAGGACAGACCAGAGTGAATCTGAAGAGTGTCTGCCAGCAGGTGCTCCCCTGGCGCTGTTCCCACAGCACCGTGTCAGTAGGCCTAGGATGCAGCCTGGACATCTGGAGAACCAGTGCACTAGATGGAAAGTCTTCAAGACAGAGAGGGCACTTTTATAACTCTGATACAGAATTTTCTTTCTTTACCATATTGGAGAAATATGTCCCCTAGGAGCCAACTGGGCCAAATGGACACTTTGATCACACTGTGCATCCAGTGTGGTGGAAGTGTGAATGTCCCAGCTTCTGGGTGGGCAAATTATAAAAAGCAGACAGAGGCACAGAGCTGGGAGCCAGACTCTTCCTTGTGATTCCTAGTGACTGGCTACATTCAGAAGATAGCATTCTTGTTCTCTATATGTGATCCTATACTGTAGAGAGGGTAGACATACCCAAATATTTGTAATGGCAAATGCTTCGGAAAGAAGAAACCAGGAGAATCAAAAACCTTCACAAAGATTGGCAAAAGTACATGTTCTGAAGGGCAGGTGGGGGTGCCTCTGGCGGGGCTAGGGGGATGGGTGCAGCAGGCTCTCGGGAGGAGCTCAGTTTGCAGATCTGACTTCACGTGGTCCCTTGGACAGAATTGTCTCTAGATCTAAGGGAGCTCAAGGCACCAGGACCTAGGGTTGTGCAAATACACTCTTTACAATGAACACCACCAGTTCTGTTTCTAAACATTACTTGAGCGTCTATAAAACATGCTTCTTTCACCTAGCTTGCTTTCTTCATATAAAAAAATAAATAAATAAAAAGGGCAAGAGAGGAGCCAAGAACTGGCACTAGGAATGGATGAGTCGCTCTATTTAATAATCTGTGGACAGTCGCTCCAGGCCTTTGCTTTCCTTTTGGCCAAAGCCAGCCAGGCCGGTTCTGTAGACACAGGGGCAGCATCGGGGGTGGAGAATCTCTTGGGGACTTCTTTCACCAGTGGTGCCGGGGGAGCTGAATCCGAGATTTCCACTGGATTGGGGTATAAAGGCAAAGTGTTAGGCTTTTTTTAATTAACAGAAATTGCATACTTGTGTATAACATGTTTTTAAATAAGTGTACATTGTAGAATGGCTAAATCAAGCTAATTAACATGTACTGCTTCACAAGATTATCGTGTTTGTCCTGAGAACATTTAAAATTCAGCACTTTTCAAGAATACAGTCTTGGTTAACTGTTGTCATCCTATTGTGCCATACATTTCTTGAACTCATTCATCTTATCCAACTGAAGTTGGGCATCCTTTAGCCAACCTTTCATCACCCCAACTCTAGAACCACATTTTGATTTACTATCAGAAATAAGAGATTCAAAATGGGGAAAACCCAGTGAAATACATGACAGGTAAAGTTTCCGGGCAGGTTCAGTGAGATCTAGGAAAAGCAAGTTTAGTTTATGACTGTTTCATACAGAACAACAGTGACTACAGCGCAGCTGGTTCTCACTTCAGTTTCTAGAAGCCTAGCACGAAAAAAGAATTTCAGGCACATTTTGTGACTACAGTCATATGACTTATCCATGCCATAAAGAAAAAGATCAGCCAGCACTTTGGGTCTATCAAGGTGGAGAGGTTATCTCTACTAGGTATCTCCTACACTAAGCATCCTTGGTTCCTCCACCTGAGCCCCACAGAACCTGCCAGCTCTTGTGATTTGTAGTCTGGTAACTCATTTGAATCACAGTGCTTTCTTTACAGGCCTCTGTGAGAAGTGAGTGTCCTCCTAGAACTCAGGAGACTGAAAAGACAAACACTTCAAAACAGGTACTTTTCTTAGGAAGCTGGAGCCACTTTGATAGCAATAACCATTTCACATTATGAATGGGGTCACAAGGCAGCCTGTGGCCTCTGATGGTGTGCTAGCTATTTCACTGAAGGAAAAAAAACATGTCCTGAGAAACTTGTAACCAAAGGTAAGCAGAGATGGGCCAGCTCCTACCTGTCACAGATGTTGGAAGGGTGTTGGCCTTTTGCAGCTGTTCTCTTCGCTCAAGCCGGGACACGGCTGTCTCATGCTTTTCCTCCAGCTGAATGGTGGACTTGTGCAGGGAACCTGCTCTCCTGACACTGCTGCTACCAGGCTGTGGGCTAATGCCGGCCTGGGTGGGCAGAAACAGGAGGCATTTTCTCAACCTGACACAGACAGACTGACCTTGTAGCTGTGGGGTTTTCACAATCAGTGCTGGCCTTCTCCCAGAGGAAGGGCTGACTGCACTGGTGAGCTGTGTGCTCAGCCCATCCTCCAGTGAGGGAGTAGTCAGTGCCAGTGCCCCCAGGACAAAGTTCATTTCTCAAGAAAGCCCCAGTAAACTGAGAAATCTGGCCACAGGAACAAGGCTCTGGATTTCTATTCTGCCCACTGCTTTAAATCATTTATTTCTCATAGATATTAGTGTTCTCTTATCCAAGAAGGATATATTCTAAGACCCCACAGGATCCTGAAACCATAGATAGTACTAAACCCTACATAAGCTATGCTTTGTCCTTACCTTAGATCTTAGCAACCTCTGCATAGGATATTTTTCCTTTCTTTACTAAGTCAATAACTTTTACCTTTTTACAGTTTACAGTCTCTCTTGGGTTATCTGATTCACGGTTCTGCTTTGGGGGCCGTTGTTAAAGTAGAGGTTACCTGTACACAAGCAGTGTGTGTGATACTGTGACTGTCAGTCTAATGACCAAGACCATTACAGGGTGGGTGGTGTGGAGAGTGGACACATGTAAGAGAGAATATATGTCCTGGAGGGATGCAGTGGGGCAGCAGGAGATTCCACCACATGACTCAGAACACAATTTAAAATGTATGGACTGTCTCTGAAATTTTCTATCCAATGCCTCTGGATCATGGTTGACCTTGGGTAACTGAAACCATGGAAAGTGAAAACTTAGACTGGAGAGGCTGCCCTATCTGGTGCTCTGTGTGGATCACTACTGTAAATTCACCACGGATTATGCAAATCAAGTTCACCTAAAAGCATAGTAAAACCACATTGAATTTCATAATGAAAATATGTGCTTGATTTAAAGGCAAGTTGATTTATTTACTCTTCTGTCTTTCATAAACTCCCATCACCACCATTTAGCTTTTTTTTTTTTTAAATCAATCTTTGTGACCTAAAATAGGTAAGTTTCGGACAGAAAAATGAAAGTTGAAAAGCAGGGTACCCACATTTTCTTTGGAGAGCTTTTCTGCCTGTTTGGCCTCTCGGGCCTGTTTCCTCTCCTCTCGCGTTGCTTGCTGCTCACGGAACCCCTTCTGCTTCTGTAGTGCTAATGTTATCCACAGTGGCTGGGCAGTTTCCACTTTCTCCATAAGTTTGGAGCCGTCCAGAGAGTGCCTGCTCTGAAGCACTGGCTTCTCTGCAGGAGGAGACAGAGGGGTCTGCTGTGAACTTAACAGACTTGTGTCAGTTCCTTGCTGTTTAAACTGGCAACATGTTATTAGTAAGTTTAAGAAACAGTCCTTCCTGACACAAAAATGTGCCCATGCCTAAGGGACTCCACTGGGTGGGAAGGTGAGGTGACATCACTGATCAAGAGAAAACCAAGGGAATTTCTCTCCTTTAGAAATGGAAGATGTTACTTTGTAGGAAAATAAAATCTCCAGTGTCATAAAATCTCATTCCCATGAGAGAGCCAGGCAGTTATGTGGTTCACTAGTGTGCTTTTAACTTAACTGCTTTAATGAGATTGATTTTTAGCATTGGAAGCCTCCCCACCAACAACCTATGTGGAACCCCAGTGTTTGAAAGTCAAAAAAGAGACACTGCTCTGTCTAATGGGGCTGCTAGGGGCAGCAAGGCTCAGGAACACAGTTAGAAAGCCAATTTTGGTTTGGAGCCCTCATTTGGTACATGGAGTGGTGGGGGCCAAAACAAGCAAGTGTGCACACCAGCTACCACCACTTAACACACAAGCAGAGGCTGCATCCTCTGGCTTAGGCTTCCAGGCTCTGTAACCACCTCACAGATGGCTGGGATTGCAGCAATTACAGGACTCTGAAATGGAGCAGACATGGCTTTGATTTTACATGACTTTAGAAAAGCTGTTTAACCTCCCAAAGCTTTAGTTTTCTAAGCTATAAAGTAAGGATAATAATGGCACACACTTTATCAAGTTGCCATGGAAACCCAGACAGGGCAGTTATCAGAATGTTTAGGATAGTGCTGGCATATATTAATCATTCTACAAAAGTAAGCTGTAATTATGTTTATGGGACAAAAGTCCCCATCTTTCAAGAAAAATTTATGCACTTACAGAAATAATCTTTACTTTATTAAATTATTTACTATCTCAAAAGAAAAGGGCTCACTGTGGTCTTGCTCTTTTTAAATCCAACCAAGGTTTATACCTTGATATTCCAGAGTCTTAACATTGGGGTTTGCAGTCACTTGGATTTGTTACTGTACTCCAGATGAAGAGAAAGGCCACGTACCACGTACCAAAACAAGTTTGAGTCAGGAATTGAAGTGGGGAGAAAAAGGTAGATTCTCATAATTTTCTTTTGCAGTGCCAGGGGTGGAACACAGGGCCTTGCATATCTAGGCAAACACTCTACCAAGGAGCTACGCCCCAAGCCTCTGCTTAATTTTCTAATTAGTTCTATAATGCTATACAAAAGATTGTGAACTGGGCCTTGTAATATCACTAAATATCAAATAAAGATCCCTGCACGACCTGACTCAAGAAAGAACCAACACATTTTTTAAGGATTTAAAAAAAAAAAATTGAAGGGAATTTTTTATTACTCTTCAGCTAACCAGAAAATAAAATATTTCATACCTGAAGCGTCAGCTGTACTAAGAAGCTTTATATAGAGCTAAATTAATGAATCTGGCTTTCACTCCGGGCACTATAACACTTTATTTTAAAAAAAATTCTTTTTGAGACAGGGTCTCACTATATAGTGAAGTTTGGCCTGAACTTGTAATCCTCCTGCCTCAGCCTCCAGAGTACCTGAGATTACAGATGTGTGCCACTATGCCTGGCTTACTTCCACAGAAAGCCATTATGTAAAAGATGATTTTATACTAAATATTCAGTCTGAACTGGCTTGGAGGGTGGTCATAAAAGCAACCTGCCAGTTTTCTGCCAACCACTTCGACAGGTGTGTATCAGGGTCAAAATGCCTTTAACAGCTGCGATGTGACCAACATCCAGCAGAAGGTGGAAGGCAGAGGTCTGGGATAGTCATTTGGAGACCCCACTCATTCTGGACTGCCTGGGGCCAACCGGTGAGGACTAGCTTGCCTCGTGGGCACTTGTGCAAACACCCTCCCCACTCTCTGGCCTTCTGACTGTGCCAGTCCTTGGATCCACTCTGCAGAGTCACAGGTGGTCATACAGGGCATTTTTCTGAGCTCCAGAATTTGAACACCTTCAAAGAAAGGGCAGAGGGAACCTGTAGTAGAACTTTGTAGAGTTGAACTCTACAGGAGGTCAGGGAGCTCAATTTGGGCCTTGTAGCCCAAAATCAGCCTGAATCTCAGGGGTCTCCCATTGGCTAGCTGAGATCAAAGGACTTAGTTCTGCACATGGCTGCGCACACTGTATACTATGACAGCAGAGATATAGTCTGAAAGAGGCCCTTCAAATTTTTTCTTCTTTCTTTTCATTCCACTCTGCAAATTCTTTTTTTTTTTGTTGTTGTTGTTCTTTTTTCCAACGCAGTCTTTTGCTCCCCCATATTATTCCTCATCTCCCTTTCTGTTCCTGCCCTAAATTGGATTTCTTTTATCATGTTTTTCTTTCTTTATGTTCTTTTCTCTCATTTTCCTTCACTCAAAGGTCAGTAGTTTCAAAGGAAAGTGAGCCCCTATTACTGCTGTTATATTCTTGTCCTTATTCCTACACTCTGTACTTCACTTTTGACTTCAACAGTTTCCTAAAGTTTGTATGGTCATCCTACGTCCCCTGGCATCACTTGAAACTTTCTCTATTTCTTTTACTTATCTACTCCTCTCATCCAAACTCTTGTCTAAGCCCTTTCTAAATGGTAAAGTTGGTGTATTGAAGAGTTTATTGACTACAAACATATTTTGGGCTGCTCCTCAATTTTAACTTAATTCACACATGGTTTAAAGGTTATAGATTCATTAATCTAAGTTCTTCTTGATCCTTTTGTGTTGCTGATTTTATCAACTGGGCTAAAGGGTTGTGACATTTAATGAGCTGTCTTCTCTGATATGAAAATGAGAATGTTTATGAGTCAAAAGCTAAAGCGCAACTATATCAGGAAGATTTAAGAAATAACCCAGGAATTAAACCAAGGAAAACCCAACAACAAAAGCAAAACTGAGAAAACATTTAAGCAAGACACAAAGACAGACTTCCAATTCACAAATGGCAAACAATAGGGCAAATGAGTTTGAAAAATCTGACAATGAACCACCAGCACACCCTGAACTCATAGCACAGGAAGTAACAAAACAGATCTAGAAAAATTCAAAACAGAAATAGTTTCCCAGATAACTACAGAGATGGTGAGCAAAATGAAAAGTCATGGTTAGAGACTCTAGAAAAGAAACTGACAAAAAAATAGATGAGCTCAGGACCATGATAGAAGCCATGAAGGCCCAGCATAAGAAAGAAATGGAAACAATGAATGCCCAATATAGGAAAGAAATGGAATCCATAAAACAGATTCAAACAGATATCCAGATTAAAAGCTATTGAAAGTGTTTGCAGCAGAATAAAAGAATGTGAAGATAGAGTCTCAGATATAAGAAGGTAGGATTGCACTCAGTGACTGTGAAAAGAGAGGTCTCAAAATTAGTAAGGGATCATGAGAAATCAATGATACCAAGATAATGCCAAGAAGAGTAACATAAGACTGATAGGAATCCATGAAGTAGTCATACAAATGACTTTAAAAAGCTGTTCACAGAATTAATGACAGAAATCTTCCCAAACGGGAAGAATTTGACATACAGATAAGTGAGGCATATAGGACTGCAACTAGCCATGATAAAAAACCAACCTATACCTAGACATATAATCAAGATCCCAGAAACCCAACAGAAAAACAAAATACTACAAGCAGTAAAAGAAAAGAAACAAATCACATGCAAAGGAAAGCCCATCAGAATCACAGCAGGCTTTCAACAGAAACCCTCAGGTCAAGGAGAGCCTGGAGTGAGGTATTCTAAGCCCTAAAAGAAAACAACCTCTAACCTAGACTGATGTATCCTGCAAAACTGTCTTTCAAAATGGATGGGGAAATAAGATACTTCCATGACAAAGAACACCTGAGAAACTTCATGAATACCAAACAAGCACTACAAGGAATTCTAAACAATATCCTAGAAAAAGACAATGAAGGTGACAACACCATGAGGCCCAACAGACCAAATCAAATAGGAAAGGCAAGAAATTAAAAGGAGAGGGGGGAAAAAGTAAAGTCAACAAAAGGACAATAACATGACAATAATAAGTCAGTACATATCAGTTATAACTATCAATGTCAATGGCTCAATTCACCGAGAAATAGACTAGTAGAATGAATTCAGAAGCAAAATCCAACAATATGTTGTATACAAGAAACACACCTATGCAAAAAAGAAGCCCATAGACTGAAAGTAAAAGGATGGAAAACAGTTCTCCATGCAACAGGAGCCCAGAAAAAAGCAGAGGTAGCAATCTTATTTGCAGACAAAGTAAATTTCAAATCAAAACTGATTAAGAGAGACAAAGAAGGCCACTACATCCTTGGGAACAATTCAAGAAGAAGAGATAACAATCAAACATACATGCACCAAATATTAATGCCCCCAACTAAATAAAACAAGAAACATGAAAAACCAAATAAGCACTAATACAATTGTAGTGGGAGATCTAAATACCCCACTATCACTAATAGATCATGTAGGCAAAAAATCAACAAAATTCAAGAAATGAACCAAAATTTTGAACATATGGACTTGATGTCTATAGAGTGTTCTGCCCCACAAAATTAGAATATACTTTCAGCTGCACATGGGTCATTTTCCAAGATAGACTACATACTAGCTCATAGAACAGGTTTGAATAAATGCAAAGGAATCAAAGTAATCCCCTGTATACTATCAGATCATAGTGCAGTCAAGCTGGAGATCAATAGCATAAGAAATCATAAGAACTTCACAAACACATGGAAATTGAACAACACTCTCCTGAATAATCAATAGGTCACAGTGGAAATTAAAGAAGAAATTAGCCAGTTTTTACAAATAAATGATAATACCAGTACAACATACAGGAATCTATGGGACACAATGAAAGCAGTTCATGGAAAATTCATAGCATTTAATGCCCACACTAGGAAAACAGAGCAAGCTCAAATAACCTAATGATGAATCTTAGACTCCTAGAAAAAGAAGAGC